TCAATTCTCGCAGATGTTATATACGCATCTAATGGTTTCTATTGTAAATTTTAAGTAGGGAATCTATTCGTTGAACATGTTCAATCCTCAGCCAGAGGATTATTTCCACCGGACAAGGGCATGCCACATAGTAAGATAAACTCCTGTCGTTTGAAATCACCTCCTTGGTGGAACGATGACTGTGATACTGCAGTCAAAGAAAGGAGAAAGGCGCTAAAAAGGCTCGCCGAGTGCCCTGACAGAGCTCGTCTCGATGATTTTAAGTCTGCTAGGAGAAGGTGTTCAGAATGCATACAGGAGGCTAAACGAATTGGTTGGAGGAAACTTGTTGGCAGTTTTAATTGCAAAACTTCAACGCACCGCATCTGGTCTCTTATTAAAAGTTTCAGGCGTAACAAAAACCCTCCCTCGAACCAGGACAATAATCTTGACACGGTCTCACTGGCTGCCATCGAAAAACTATGTCCTCCCTTTTGTCCATATAACGACCACAAACATATTGAGGATATGAAACGTGAAGATCTTCTTCAACATAATACACAACAATGGTTGGAAGAACCCTTCTCAAGAGTCGAACTTACTAGGGCTATCAATGTGGCTAAAAAACGTTCCGCCCCAGGCTTGGATCAAATAGATCATTCCATCATCTCCAGTCTTCCCGATGAGTATATTACCAGACTACTTGAATTGTACAATCAAATACTAGCACAGGGAGTTATACCGGACTCTTGGAAGGATTCCCTAGTCGTTCTTATTCCTAAAACCGATGGGAAGTCTGTGCGCCCAATTTCTCTTCTCTCATGTTTTGCCAAATTAATGGAATACATGATATACTTTAGACTTAGATGGTTTATTGAATCACGTCCTCTTCTTCCACAAACGCAGTCAGGCTTCCGACCAACCAGGTCTTGCATAGATAACCTCGTGACTCTCACCTCTAATATCAGAACAGGCTTTATTAGGAGATCTCCTACCGTAGCAGTATTTCTCGATATTGCGGGAGCTTTCGACAATGTTATACCTCACATTCTAATTAGGGACTTGTATGAAATTGGCATTCCCGCCTCTATTAGAAAATTCATTGAAAATTTCATCTCTATGAGACGTCTGCATTTCGTGGTAGACGGTTCTCTCTTAGGACCGTTTAATTCTTATAAGGGCACACCTCAGGGCTCCACACTCAGTCCTGCGCTTTTCAATATCTACCTTAAAGATATCAACGATCACATTCATTCAGATTCTCGTATTTTGCAATACGCTGACGATGTTGTCATATATTCCACCTTAAGAAACATTGACTCAGCTATCTCATCCGTGCAAAAATCGATTGATAACATTAATACATGTTTAAGATACAGAGATCTCGAACTGTCACCGTCTAAATCGAGATATATGATATTTTCTCGCATCAAAAGTTGCTCAGAGGATCCTAATATTCAAATCTCTAACACACATATCCCCAGAGCTTACACACATAAATTCCTGGGGGTTGTCTTAGATGACAAGCTGTCGGGTATTCCACAGCTAAAGGCCCTCATAGAGAGAGGTAAGAATATTGCTAATATAATTTCTTCTTTGGCCGGAGTCAAATGGGGTTCACATCCCGACGTGCTGCTTACGGTATACAGGGCAACTCTTAGAAGTGCTATCGAATATGGAGCTCAGATCTTTACATGGAACCCGGAGTCTGAAAACTTTGTTAAACTTCTCAGAATTCAGTATAAGGCTATTAGAAAGGCTATGGGATATCGGATTTCCACCCCCATTAATGCCATGCTGAGCGAGGCAAGGGAACCTCCTCTACACTTAAGATTTTCCTATATCACATCCAAATATATATACAAAGCTATGGCTAACAAATTTAGTACATCATATGAAGCCCTTAAAGAACTGGAACTTACAGCCATCCAAAAAAACCAGAAATTGAAGACCATCAAAAGTTCTAATCTATTCAAGTCTTATATTACACATCTTGCAGACAAGAAAATTACACATCGCGCCACATACCCTCCAGCCTTCTGGCACGAATTTGAAGTCATGGCCAAACCTATCACTTATATCGGCAACATGCTTCTCTTTCATTCAAAGGACGATCCCCACGCTACGGCTGCCATTTCTTACGAGATTTCACTAGAATACAGAATAGATGCCATTTCTATTTACACAGACGGTTCCAAGGAACCTGACAGTGCTGTCGGAGCTAGAGTATACTCCCCCGATCTGAATATCAGCATTAAACACAAGCTGCCAAGCGAAACCTCTATTTTCTCAGCGGAGCTTTGGGCTCTTTACCAAGCCGTCCTCCTCGCCAGAGATTGTGGAAGCAACAAAGTTGTCATTTTTTCAGACTCCAAGAGTGCGCTGGATGCAGTCAGCAATCATCACTACATACAGAACAACTACATTGTCTACTACATCAAGCAAAACATTCTTCTGGCCATGCAGCAGGGAATCACAATCACCCTTTTCTGGATCCCATCTCACGTGGGTATTCCGGGAAATGAAAAAGCGGACGAAACAGCCAAATCTGCCTCTCTAACGGGACTCTCTACAGCCTTCAGGATTCCATATGAAGAGCTATACGCTGTATCTAAGGAACGATTGCATTGTAGATTTACTGAATATCTTAATTCATCTGCTGGATATAAAGACGCTCTCAATCATGAATACTTCCCTAGAACTTCCTCTAAACCTTGGTTCAATGATCTATCTTGGAGTAGAAATGAGATTGTTATGATCAACCGACTCAGATCTAACCACTATAATCTCAATAGCAGCCTACACAGAGTGAATATAGTGGAATCTCCTGCTTGCCCCTGTGGGAATAATAATCAAGATATCAATCACGTAATTTTTCAATGTGAAGTATATAAACAAAACTCTCTCCATCTACGAAACTACCTTAAATCCAAATTTCCCCAACACCCTGAAAACATATTTCCCGCCCTATCCAATCCCTCTCCTAAGCTCTGCAGGCTCCTCACGACATTCGCGGGAGCCTCTGATCTGTTCTTTTAGTGGTCCACTCCCTTCCACATAACGCGCGACCACCGCTGGGTGGCAGCAGGCACCTGGTTTGGGAGTGTCCCCCCCAATCTTCGATTTATCCACCTCGCCTTTTAATACAGTCCATTACCCATCAACACTGCGCGGACACTCAATGGCTCAGTACCAACCTGTCCGGTTGCGGAGCCAATCAAAAGAAGAAGAAGAAGATTATATTGCATATTATGTGTATTATGTTTTTCACCTAATATGCAAGTATTTAGATTAACTTTTAATTGTTTTTATATATTTGCAGATCTATCTGCGATCACTTCAATGTAGGAAAGGCTATGGCCCGTATTCAGAACGCGCTTTTATCGATAAAAGCGCACTTTTATCTCTGAAATTCTATAATATGCGTGACGTAAAGTATAGTATGTTAGCGTGCTAACATCGTTGTAAGCGCGTTCTGAATACGGGCCTATAGGTTTGAGATCTGTTAGGAGGGTAATACGAGCACTGTTTAAAAGAGCTTATCAATTTATATCGTGGCCATCAGGTGAAAAAGCACGAACAGTAATAAATAAATTTAAAAAAACAGTAGATTCTCTAATACAATTGGTGCTATAGATGGAACGCACATACAAATAGAAGCACCTAAAGAAAACGCAGCAGATTACATCAACCGAAAAAGATATCACTCTATTCAGCTTCAGGTATTTAAAATTGTTAAACTATTTATAATAGTAATTTCAGCTATATAAGATATTATATTATCATTATTTATTAGCCATGTTTATTTTGGAAATATTTCTTTTATATCAAAAGAAATAGTCTAATTTTACCACAGAATACTTTTACCTGTAAAATTAAATAAACATAAATTCTGCTAGATAAACATGTTAATTTGTTTTATTTTCAATTTCTTTTCTTGTTATAGGTTGTGTGTGATCATAGAGCACTCATAACTCATTGTTATGTGGGTCATCCTGGTTCTGTACACGATCAGCGAATATTTAGACAATCAGAAGTGGCAACATATCTGAATAATGAAGAAAAGTTTCCATTCGACAGTCATTTAGTAGGAGATTGTGCCTATGCATTGCACGAACATTTACTAGTACCATACAAAGATAATGGACATTTGAGTGCTGCCCAAAAGCATTATAATTTTTGTCAATCCTCTGCACGAGTAGTAGTTGAAAGGTGTTTTGTTTTATTAAAAACACGATTGAGGAGTTTGATGCATTGCTTGCCTATAACCAGAATTGATCTCATGGCTGAATATATTGTAGCATGCTGCGTTATTCATAATATTTGTATACTGAATAAAGATGAACTCGCAATAATACTGTTAATATCAGCTACAAATACTTCAGCACAAGATCATCATATTGATCAAAGGCAAGCAAATAACAATGGAATTTATAAAAGGGACATGATAATGAATATGTTATAAAGAGAATTTAATTAAATTTTAACTTCGTATAAACATTGTAATTATTACACTGTACAAAAACCAAAGCAACATAATAAAAAATATAGACATTTTATAGTATAAGGTTATCATATGTACAGGTACTCTCAAATAAAGACATTTGTTAAATACATAACAGATCAAAATTCATAGCACAAATATATCACCCATATTTTGTGTTATCTTAAAAATATAATAATAAATGTAAATATATGGTAAGAACTAAGAAAAATCTAAAACAACATAAAATTTAAAAAATCCTTTACATGAGAAAGAAATACTTAGTTCCTTAAAGTATGAAAATAATATTAATCTTTACTGGTTTTAGGGCCGATTGTTCCATCTTTTAGGTAAAGTTTATCTGTTAGGTAAGTAACAAGATTACCCAATCACGTGTACGGATTGCCAGATTTACTAACAGATAAAATTTACCGAAAGATGGAACAATCAACCCTTAAACTATAAAATATATTGTAAAAAAACAAAATATATTCTAACAGTTATAGCAGAGATAGGAAGTAATTCTTCTTTCACCGTTAGGATTAACGTTACTTTTATAATAACAAATTTGATTATGACATTACAATTTTTCATAAACGTTCGGACATAAAGTGTTATGAAATTTACCTAAAGAATTCACTTAGAAAACAATTTTTGATTGTCTGGTAGAAAATGGTTACAATGGATTCTCATAGGTACGATTATTGCTTTACTCATTGTGCGTTATTTATTGAAAAAAGTAATTTGTAACTAATCGTTAAATAACGAGTAAAAGTACTACATTAGTAATGTTACTTTTACTCGTTAAATAACGTCAACTATCAAATTACTTTTTAGTTTTTATCAATAGATAACGTGTAATGGTACAGTTATTTATTAAAAGTAACTATTCTAGTTGTGGCATTACCATTACTATTATGAAAAATTGTAATGTCATGATTAAAGCATTATAAGAGGATAAAAATAATTTAAGTCATTACTTATAACACATTATACTTCCCATCCTTGGATTATAATATTGTTAAATGAGTACTAAAAGTAGAACTATTATTGAAATCTATCATATCACAGTTAACAGATGTATCACTTTCATTTTATATATATCTTGAAAATATAATAATAAAAATAAACACATGGTACGGACTAAAAATAAAGATCTCTCTATGTAATTAACAAGAAATATTGAATCTTAAGAGATTTTTAAGCGAAAATTCTTAAGAGAGAAAAAATGAAAATATTTATTTCTCTGCTATAATCTATAAAGTATAAAATAAAATAGATATTAAGCTTTTATGAGTATTTTTAAATAAATATCACGAAGAGTAGAAATGTTACTTATTTAAGAATTGTGTAAGAGCATTAACCAATTTTGTCTCTAAAAGCATTCTCTCATTGTGACGTTTCTGTTTTTTATGTTCATGTTCCTGTTTTTGTGTCAATCTCTCTTCAAAAAGATTTGTTATTGATCTCTTGGTTTTTATATCTGAAAAAAATGAAATATTTAACATCTAAATAGAATACAGAATTGAAATAAGTGTAATTGGACTGAACTAAAGTCATTCGGATTTTATTAAAAAGCAAAATCCAAACAATTTGGTCAACTCAAAACGTTTAAAAAATTGTATGTCAATTACAAACTATATATAAACAGTTAATTTCTTTACAAGAAACATTTATATGCAAAATCTTGTTTAATTAAAATATATATTCAAAATCACACACACGCACGCACGCACCCACACACACACACACACATTATATATTCATCAGTATTTGATATACTCTTTTTAGGAATATTATTTTCCTCGTCAGGCCGAGAATCATCTTCAGAAAAATTTGAACAAGTTGGAGAACATTCTTCTGCATCAATATTTTTAATTAATTGACCAGTAGATCAAGCAAGTGCTACTCGTCTACACCAGGCTTTTTTCGAGAACATGTTATCTATAATCTGAAATACAAAATTATGTATAATTGTGAAAAAATTTATTAAAATTTACTATTTATAATTCCAGATAGGATTTATATAAGGTGCGTTCCAACAAGCAACACGGTGTGAAACAGTGATCATGTCATCTTTGTTTAACATTGGCAAACAACAAAAATATAATGATCCATTGTGTCACACCGTGTCATTTGTGTCGCTTGTTGGAAGGCACACATAATTATCTACTGATGCACACACACACACACACACACACACACACACACACACA